GTCCACGCCTACAAATTTCGCACTTTTCAAAAAACCGCACGATAATTTTTTTTATAAATTTGACAATCCCGAGATCAATTGCCAATAAATATACCCTGCAAGTTTCAAGAACATTGAAAACAGAGAAGGCTTTTAAATAGGGCCTCAAATATGGCCAATTTTTCCATGAGATTTTGTGTTTACAAGGGAGCGTCCTCATTATTCACTGGCATTGTATTCAAGTTTCATATGCACGTGCACATTTAGCAACAAGAGATAAATTTACATAAAAAAAACTTTCGCTTACTTTAGGAAGAAATATCCGGAATATGCTAATAATTGGCTTATGCCACAGATAGCAGTGAGAGCCGAGACGGTGAACGTCACGGCTCATCGTGTAGGATGCAATGCTTAATTATCTTACTCGGGTTATAACATCACAGAAACTCTTACAAAGAGTTACTGTGATGTTATAATATATCATAAATTTGTTTACCCGGTTATTAACATATTCCGGAGATTTAACCGAGGGTCCTTTTTGATGCAAATTGTATCTTTTTGCTTAATGTACACGTGCATATGAAACTTGAAAACAATGCCAGTGAATAATGAGGACGCTCTCATAGAATTTGTTCAAACTTTGCTATAATTGAGGCAAATATGGCGGGTACAAACTCCCCTAAGCGATTTCTTAAAAAAACTCCTGATACAGAGAAACACAAAGATAAATAAAAAACGTAATGGCGTCGTTACGTTGCCATGGCGACTCTGATTGCAATAAAACCCAGATCAAAAGAAATTTTAATCTTTATATAATACAGTTATGGTAATGTTTTTCCCATATCTTTACTCATGGCGACGTAGTTAATGCTCAAACTTGGAGGTATCCCCCCCAAAAAATCGAGCCACCTTCATTTGGGGACATATTGGCTGATCCCTCAGGCGGTTTCGGATTGCAGTTCCCTAGTGCTCTTCAATTCGCTGGTGAAGGTGTCGGCACGTGTGGCCGACATAACCTGTATCATACAGGTTACACTGAAAATGATACACATTGTTGATTAACAAGGGGTGACCTGTCTTCCCTCACTTTGATTTTAACCTTGATCTTTCGACTTGTGTAAACAGGGCTGATTGCATTTGGCGTGTTTTGTGCCATCACCTTTACTGGGCTGATATCGATTGTACATGTTAAGTCGTGATATTCAATTAAAGGTGGCTTTGTGCCTTTTGCTCTTAGCCATTTTACTCCACAATTCGTCTTTTTTCTCTTTTTTTTTTTTCAAAAATATCCGGATACGTGTGGACGGGGCCTAAGTTCTTGCTGAGGTATCTTTGACACACTTTTTTTCCTTCCATTTTCTTTTTTAAAGTTATGACTTATTTATGATGAACATTTTGTTTGTATGTTTGTTTCCAGGCAAGTTCGCATGTTAAAATAAATTTTAATAATAAATTATCGTCATTCAAATTTTAGAATAAGTATATGAACCCTTTTCAACCCCATGGATTTGGTACCCACATCGCCACAGTTTCAAAAATATGTATGAGAAAATTGTCTTGTCGATGACACGGAAACAAAGAAACTTGAAACTTAAAAGCTGCACAAATTCTCAAGTTTACGAACTTTCTGAACATTTCAACTTTATTTGTATATAGGTACACGGCGACGCCTTCCATGGGTTAACTCATATGCCCATGAGAAAAATGTAAACAATAACGTCTGCAAAAATTCGCAGATAGTCAGGGAGCAAACTAAGGCCTTGATAACCTAGTAATACCCGGTAGTATGAAAAGAAAGAAAATGTCATTGATAAAAGACGAATCTACATTGAGGAGACCAGAAATATCGCCAGAAAATTATTTTAGTCTTCGTCGTTTCATTGAGTATAAGCCGGTCCCCAGATTTGCAGTTTTTCGCGAGCCCAAGGTAACATCTGGTATTAAAATCTGAGTACACAAGTACAATGAGTGAAGGATTGCACTGCGACACCTTAAACGGCAGCAAGTCCTGTAGACAAAACCACCTTTAAGTGTTCTAACAATCGCCCTCCCAAACACCCCCTAGATGTACTATTAGGCAATAGCAAGAAAAACAAATCATGTTTTTGCTTACCTGGATCACAAGAAGATTCTGACATTTTACGCTTTCGGCTGTTTTGTGACTGAGACACTTTAACTGTGGATGTTTCAGTTTGGTTTCCTGATGCAGCATCAACTTTCTTTTCACAGTTTCTACCAAGGGACGTTTCTGAAACAAGCTGCTTGTCGTCATAAGACTTTGTTCTTGGGTTGTTGTCATTTTCCATAACAGGCTCTGCGTAAACAAACTTTGGTTACAATAATGATTTCTTTAAATTCAAACTAGTAGATTCATATAATCAACAATCGCAAAAAAAGCTTTCGACTAAGAACAATGAACCCTACGCCAGCGTTGTTTCCTGGCTTCGAATACAGCTCTCATTTGCTACATTAAGAACTGTACACAGATGAGTCAGAGGTTCTAGATATCCATTCAAATCACGTGAGGTCTCAGAAGACTTCACTTTCGCTGAAGCTGGTCAACATCTGCACTCATAATTTTAGGCCTAGATTTTTGATAGTTTTTTTTCTTAGTAATGCTTGATTTTCCTTTTCCTACTTTTAAATTATTTACGAATGTAAATAGTTTTCTATCGTGGACATATATTTAGTTTTCAATTTGTAAACAATACGAGATAATTTAAAATTGTAAATATTACTTATTGTTCTGATACTTAAATAAAGATTGGTTATTTTCACAATAATTTCTTTGAAACTTAAGACCCATTTCTCCCCGGGGTGGACATTTGTTATGCACGATATATCGGGTTGTGTTTTCCCGGAAAAGAAGCTCAGCTGCCGGTATTTAAGTCCTACCCCGTCCCTAACTTTTTCTCGCTCTCGCGCGCCCCCCGCGCATCTCCCGCTTGGTTAAAAGCAGACAGAAATGACTGCTACGCATGCTACATACGTAGTCCATAGACCATTCCGCTGAAAACAATATACCTAAAGAAATTCAAAACGTTACAGTTTTCCTGATATCAGGAATTCGTGGGCCTTTATGCAAGATTTAAAGACAAAACTTAAAAGGGATCTCATTTTTGTTTGTTTTGTTTTTCCATCATTTCCTGATAATGTACCATTGAAGAAAAGATAATCGATATTCCAACCATGAGCCAGGTTGATCATCCTGTCACCTAACTCCTTTGTCTGTTTAGCCCAGTCGTATTTCCTGGCATAGAAATCACGCAAGGTCACCGCTTCCTCAAGTCGACATTCCCTGTCCTTGGACCAAATATTCGGAATGGCTAAGGTTGCGTCTCCAAAACACCAAGACCTACGTTGTTGCCTATGAGGCTGTAAGGCAAGTCAGTCACAGCTTTACTCTTTAAATACTCTAAGGGTGAGGTCAATTAAAGACATTACAATCATTATTACAACTAGAAACATATGAGCGAAAGATCTGGTTCAGCCATTTCACACAGTTTTACTTCGATGGTGCGCCTTTCTTCACCCTTTGAAATTGACCTTTCAAATATCCCAAGTTCCTCTGGGTCTGTGTGTACCACTTGAACCCATTTGCACGTTTTACGGACTTTAATGACTTGTGGTTGTTTATCGAGTTGAACTCCATGACCTACGATAACGTCGATTTGCAAATCTTTCGGCGGAAAGAAAAACCAATCCAGTTGTTCAAAGGCAGGCGGCAGAGGCATCGCCTGCACGATCTTTGCTTTGTGTTCAAGGGCTATCTTTCTATCCTCTTGACTACATTTTGGTAAAAAGAGAGTGATTTTCACTTCAGGGAACTTGGCTAACTGAATGGCTAATTCTCTGTTTATGGTGGAAAGCCCCATTACTTGATCCCCAAGCAGATGCCAAAATAGTGACTTTTACTTTGCGAGATCCATGCACTCAGTCATTCAGGACTTTTTAAGTCTTCGATTGATATTGTTAGTCTCATGTCGTCAGTAAGTAAGTTCCAGAGCTTTTCAGTTTCGCACTTGATGGACTCGAGTCCATAAGTGGTTGTCCTAGGTTCAGGTAAGCTTAGTACATTATTCCCTCTTAAAATATAATAATACTTGGAGCTGCGAAGAGAGAGCAGTTTCTCAAGACAATTAGGATACGCAGAGACAAATAAGCTTTTAAACATTCCAATAAGCATTTTGTGATTTCTTCCACTGTACAAAGATGTTGTCTTAGCCTTCTTTGGCAACTCGTCATAACTAGAATTTACATCATTAAATATAAATCTCAAAATGCGTTTATTCAAAAAGCTCTAGTATATCTTTGAGTGAAGAAACGGACGATAAGTATTCCAAAAATCATTTGGGTTACGTTTGCTGTTTCTGATTTATTGAGAAAATACGCCTTGACCGCCTTTCGTCTCAGCGAAGTACATTTATTCCTTTTTTCTTTGTAAAGGGCGTAATGAGCATCAGTGCAATCATGAGTGAACTTTTTCCACAGCTTGTTTCACTACCGAATGGCTTTGCGCCATTGTTCATTCACGAACGGTACTTGATTGCCTCTCACTTGGAATAGCTTTAGAGGTGCGTGCTCATTTATAATATCTAAATACAGCGATTCAAATGCAAATAATTTATCGTTTACATCATGGAAAAATTTCATTACATTGAAAGGAGTATTATGCAAATCTTGTAGGATAGCATCGCTGTCAAACTTTTAATCTTCTCTCGCAAACTTTTCAAGATCGAAATCTGGGTGCGAAGAGTCTTAAAATTCTGTATACGAGGGAGTGATCGGTGACTTAGACATCAACCACGCCCGATGATAGTATTCTTTCATTGTTGTTTGTAAGAATGAGATCGAGATTGTTGTTATTTTGTCTGTCCTTCCAGTTGGTAATGTGATTAGGTTCTTTAGGTTATAAATGTCCAATAAATCACACAAATCGCGTCCATCCATGGGAAGCTTGTTTGGTTCTATCATATCACAGTTGAAATCACCCAAGAAGATAGTGTCATTTGAAATTGTTGTTACATCTTCAAAAACAGCACTAAGTTCACGTTTCCACTGACTTTTGGGATGTTAGGAGGTCTGTAGATGCCAACGATAGCAAACCAAGATTTATTTATTTTGACTTTCAATAACATGGATTCAGTGCGAAAACTTGACATGTCTACATTGAAACGTGTAACGACACGAAAACAGATGTCATTCCTTATGAAGATCATTAGCCCACCACCATGAGCATTTCTATCGACACGATACATACGAAATCCTTCCACATTAAACTGACTATTGCTAAAGGTAGCATCTATTTTCGTCTCTGTTATGAGGAGTATGTCAAACCATCCAGACATTAGCCAACTTCTAACTGCAAAGAATTTAAAGTCAGCAATCTTTGCGTTAATGTGCCCAATCTTGGTATTAGCTCGATGTTTGTTTGCCATTGCATCAAAAGAAGACCAAATGTCCAACTGCGTATCGCGTTCTTCGTTTATATCAACCGAGCTGCCACTTGTATCAAAATTGCTCACATCTGAGAACAGTGGCTGTTTTGGTTGATCCGAGCAGTCAAGACAGGTGCAGGTGTTAGTAGTAAATTGCGGGCACCCTTACAAACGGACAGCTGATAAAACCCCGAGTTGTCCCCTTAGAGAGTCTGTTTACATCCGCCCCCTCCCATTAAACAAAATTGGGGAGACACACTAAAGTTTTTACCCTGGAAGATTCATTCACCATCACAATACCGCAATACTTACGTCACGGTATCAACATGACAGCTAATCAGAGGATTTCCCTGACAATCCGGGGAAACCAGAAGTTGATTAACGACGCAGAGGTCTCTCTCGCCGATTTTGCTTTAGACTAGGAGCAGTCCCCCTTGTTTTTAGTCCGTTCAGCGAAACTCGCGAGACACTAAAAATACCACGCGCAAGACTGAAGGAGCGAGACGGGCTCGACGCTCGAGCACGCCTCTCACGAATTTGAAGAACAATAGACTTGCTTGCGGGGAGAGGGCGGTTGTACACAGGCTAAGAGAGCTTCAAGCTGTTTCTTGGAATGGAAACAGTTATTTAGCTGTAGTGGGGCACATGCACTCTCCAAAAGACTACTTTCTTAAATGACTATAACTTTTTCTTGCCCTCCTTTGTATTTTCCCGGGAAAATAGAATTACCTTTATATATCACAAGACTCAGGAAGAAACAATTTATCACAGTGAGGGTTTCCCAACGAAAACCCTTCAGCACAAGACTAGATAATCCTACTGGAAATGAAAGATCCAGAAAGTATCCATTCTCCTAACACTGAGGCCGTCATTGGAAATTACAGGTGGGATGGCGATTTAAAGACAAAATTTCAGGCCAAAGAAAATATGACGCTCATATCTAGGGTGAAAGAAAAAACAAAACCCCTCATTGCCTCTTTGAAGGAGCATGGATATTTTCTGAGACTTAATACAACAGATCTAGTCAAAATCAACTGAAAAAGTACAACTATTTGGTGGGAATAAATTGACAAGTGCAGAGCATATCCTCACAATACGATCAATAATCAGGATCTGTGTACCAGGGGATCCATTTCTGTTTGAAGCAAGAAAATCTGTTGGAATTGCTCCCTCAAAAGTGATGTACCTGTGCCACAGCAACCCCATAGTTTTGAACACTTGCTATTCCTCTGGTTTTTTGTCAACTGGATGCAAATGTCACTTCCCTTTTGTAAAGGCTGGAATTTCCAGCTTAGCCTGCTAAAAGCCAACACTCTCTGCGGAAACCGGTCGTTTTGATACGAAATCAAGCATTGAAATTGCACAAAAATTTCGGTCACCTCAATTATGACAAGTATAATATGCGCGTGAACAAGAAAAACATTTTGGGTGAATATTTCGCGTTCTTTACGCCATGTTTGTGAAACTATTTACAACTCAACTAAATAAAATTGTATCGAAACGACTTTGTATCAACTCTGTCTGCGACGATTTAACCCTTATCCGCCATGACCATGTCTCCTGGTCACCGTCTCGACTTACTGCCAAATCCAGAGAGTTCTCCTCTCTGTAGTGGTTTCTTCGAATTCCTCGCCCTTGTTTTTGACAAATGATGGAATACGAAAAAATCTTTGGGTGTTTTTCTTCTCACTTTCTCTACAACAACCAACAACGATGCAAACTACCAAATCTACTACCGCACTCTTACATCTCTTCGAGCTGGTTTTGATCACGTTTGAGGGACACCAACATGGCGTATAGCAACCGTTGTCAAGCGGCGGGGCACATGGGTGAAAACCAAGAATACATGATTTACCGTAAAATTACAGTGCGTCAGTATCCAGGTTAGCATAGATTGCCCGGGTTACTTAGCTACGTGTAGCCACCATAGAAGATGTGATATATCAGTTCAGCTCAGTTCAATGGGCAGTATGGTTTTTTCCCTGCTATAAATTAAACGGTAAACATTCTTCAGTGGGCCTCTCACCCCACCCTTTGCTCACACCAGAGGGCAGAAGCAAGAGAAAGCAAATAATGTCTTTTCATACCTGGAATATGCCTACAGCTACTTTTAGTCTGACTTCCTACTGCAAAATGAGCTCTCTTTTCAGTACGGAAAGTTTCTTCAACAATTGGCTCTTCATTTCTTGGCTTGATGACATTTTCGGAAGACCCTGTTGGTTGGTTATAAAAATGCTTTCATTGTGAGGGAAAGTTGATAGAGTTGTTTTAAGGAATCCTGTTAACTACAAAAGATTTACCAGATGTTCTGGAATAGTAGGTGCTTTGGGATTGCATATCATTGCCTTGTCCATTTGGACACTTTTAATTTGAATTACACTTCAGCCATACTTTTCATGATAGAACATTCACGTACATGTTAAAGGTCAAACTTGATCCCAGGTTAATTTTGATTTAACCTAGGTTGATTCTCAATTTCCTTTGTCCTCTAGGAGTCGTAGTCAAAGGAAATCAAGAATCAACCTAGGTTAAAAATATTTAACCTGGGAACTAATTTGACCCGTAACATTGCATAACTTTTGAAACTTACAGTTAATGGCCCTGTGAAATACTAAGTTACATCAACACTATTAAAATACCGAATTACCAAAATACAAAAACACTAGGTTTATTAATAAGTGTTATGGGGCAAGAAAACCATGAACATCTGAAATTGATTTTGCCTAAGTGGCCAATCGCAATAATGTTCGGAACACACAGGCAAAAGTCATACTAACATGTACAAAATAGTATAAATCATATTCATTGTTTTATGCATGAGTTTCAAAACAACAACTCTTACCATAGACCATTTTCCACATTCTCTCCACGAGGGCTTTGCATTGTTCCTTCCAGCTGTACATTTCTCCATAACTTGATTTTAATGTTTTAACCTCTTCGAGTCGCATTCGATGCCTAACACGAACACCGTCAATTGTTTTTGCCCATTTTGCAGGATCATCTGAATTCACGATGCATGTATGACCATGTGGAACATTCTCTAATGCATTGGCAATTCCCGACTTACTAGCAACAAGAATGGGTAGGCCTGCAGACAAGGCCTCGAGTGCGACAAGACCAAATCCCTCTGATTTTGATGGCATAATGGCAAGGTCAGCTTCACACAGCAAATCTTTCAGTTTCTCTCTGCTTTGTATAAATTTTCGAACAGTTAACTGCGCTTCGGCAATACCACGTTGAAGAAGTTTTCCCCTGACTTCTTCTTGTTTTCCTTCAGGCGCTCCCACAAAGATTAGATGGTAAGGTTTGTTTCTTAGCCGTTGATCAGTAAATGCCTTAGCAGCAATGTTGTATCCTTTGAGTTCAAAGTCCTCATCATCTCCACGACCAAATAACAACACTTTAAATTCGCCATCCTTGTTAGGATCTTGTTTTGCTACTAAATCCCCAAACTCCCTTTGAAAAAGACCTGGAGTAATGGACAAAACGTCTTGATCTGTCTTACATCGCTGTAAATATGAAGAGTATGTTTCTTTCAGTCTGGGCCCCACGGGTACAACAAGATCAGCAAGTTTGCAAAGTTCAACCTCTGATTCTTGTTTTGTTTCACCTTTTGAAATGGGGTCACTGTAGCATTTGTATCTGCTCAGGTCCTCTGGAGCAGTGTGAACCACTTGTACCCACTTGCAATTTGGAAATCGAGCAGATTCTCTGATGAACTGTACTTGTCGACCAAGTTTAACACCATGGCCAACAACGGTGTCCATCAAGTGGTCCTGGGGTGGAATGCTCAACCAATCAAGACGATCATATGCTGCACGTTCTTTCGCCTCAACAATGGTGATTCCATAGGCATCAGCTTCTCTTATTTCTTCAGTGCTGCAAGCTTTTTCTGGACACAATAGAGATACAATTACTCCTGGCTGCTGTGAAAGGTGAATAGCAAGCTCTCTGTTTACGGTCGACAACCCACCAGCAGATGAACCCCACTCATCACCAAGAAGAGTAACGTTCAAGGTTCTGCTGGTAGCAGATAACGCACTCTGTCCAGTTGCTTTCTGTGGTATGGTTTCATCTCCACTATTAGAAAAGCTAGTCTGAAGGAAAGAATGAAAGTAATGAGAACGACAAGTGACTTGAAAATGCTGGAGAGTTTTGTTTTGTTAACTGTGAGGGGACCCATAAAAAGCCGCCTTGGTGAGTTTTAAGTTTCGAGTTGTACTTCAAAAGGCTTGAAATTGTCTTCAGAGACAAACAGAGAGTAACAGGTACTACGCAAAATTAATACGTGTTAATTTCCTATTTTAACTCATCGTTTCAAAAGGCAGAACTTAGAACATAATTTTTTTGCTTTTAAATTCCTGTGGCAATCCCTTTCGGAAACAACGTCTACTTGTCTTGTCAACCTTTCACTACCCAAAACGAAGCCAATAGGAGAATTGTTCTTTGGCTTAAATTCACGACAAGCGCAAACATCCCGAGCCATGTTTTGCCACAGTAAAGGTCCAGCCAAAGCTATTGGTTATTTCTATAACCCTTTAGGCCTGAATTTTTGGGAGAGAAAAATTTGCCACAAATTTGCTCACTAATTTTACTGAAAATGAGTGGTCACAAATCAAGTGAAGAATAACAAGAAAAGATATGATAGATGCTTCCTTTATTTAATTCACATCGGAAGTAAAAAAATAATCAAACAGTTATGGGTTTGAAAACAAACAAACAAACCCAGTCTGTGCGTAAAACGCTTGTAACACTGAGTTTCTTGTTTCAATCCAGGAAACCTTCAATGATCAATAAATTCACCGAAGAAAGATACTCCATATAATTGTTACTATTGTCTTGTTTTGTACCCCATCAATCTGCCCCTTACTATTAAAGATTGTTGTCGACAGTCAAGGCTTTAGACGGATTAGGGCCTTTCATAAAACAAGTGAAAACAAAAAACCTCGTGAGAAGTCAGACTGTTGACGTTCCATGTGTCTTTCACATTTTGGAGTTGGCCAGAAGATGCAGCCATGGTTCAGTGGTGGAGGAAAATGCAGATCCTCCGTGATGTACTGCTGAGTCCTGTCTGTAACTCTGAAAAATTGAAGATGAAACTCACTTTTTACTATTAATATTATCCAAGCTATTCTTCTATAACTAAACACATATGGTTTTTACTTGTTTTTTCCCGTTTCCACTACTGTTATCAAAAGAAATTGTATTATCACATCTAATGAGCCCAACTGGCCATTCTAAAAGAATTCAGACTGATTTTATGTCATCATGCCCCGGATTGAGAGACAAACGTCTTTCCAGAGTACTTACTCCCACTGTATGAATACTTTAAAGTAAGCAATGTTTATTTTTTATTTTTTTAAATTATATTTTAAGCTTCTCTAATTTAAATTAACGAATGCATGAGTTAGTTATCAATAGCTTTTGCAGCACTGTACATGAAACTATTGCAGCACAGTAATACTCAGATCTGTTGGAGAACATAAAAGTTTGCTTCTTTAAACTGAGTTGGACAATTTCCGAGAAACACACCCAGCTAGTGGTCAGACCTAGAATGGCGGGATTGCGAGTCCGACGAGCTAACTTCTCAGCCACACTGCCTCCTCATGGTACCATACCGGAACTACAACAAGAGTAAATCTTTGTAGTGGGGCGGATATATGCAGAATTTTTATCGAATTGTGCGCTTTTGGGTTAAAAGCATCACATTTGGAAAAATGTTGCCTCTTCGATATTCTACACTGATTAATCTCTGATATGGAGCCAACGCGGATTTTGGTGCTGACGCGAGTTATGGGGATTTTATTTAAACGGCAGCAATCTTGACCGCAAGTGAAAAGATGAATCCCCGGAAGGTGAATTTCTTTGCTTTCCAGTAACTCTTAAATTCAAAAATCAGTTCATTTTTTCTTATTTACAAAGATTTATAAGGCTGTATTATTGCAATACTGCAGATTGCATTTATGGAAATGAAGAATTTTAGCGTTTGGCTTTACCTTATCTATTGCAAAGCGAATGATGTAAACAATAAAGCATTTGATTACTGCAAAACTATGAACGTTGTAATAGAAAAAAAAATTAAAATAGACATAGCTATTGTTTAAGAACCGTAATTTTTGTACCATGGTTACTAAATTTCATGTCCGCAGCTAAAGAATTATTATACAAATCACAACGTCGTTCATTGATTCCGTGAGTATTTAGAGTGCCATACGTTTTGCATGCATTTTTGCAAATCAGCTCACTGTGCAAAGAAGTCTACATAGGCGTATCCCAGGCGGAAACTAAGCTACCGTTTCCGCGAACCTGATATACGAAATGTGTATCAAAACCAGAAGGGTACCAATGAAGCCTCCTAATCATTCTAAGAATATCAAATGGGAAAAAAAATATAAAAGCTGCTGTCGCGTTACAGGCTTTAGGCTTTAATACAATTAACAATTGACAACAAAGTAACTGCAGCTAAAAAACTTAACTTGGATATGAGTTAAGAAAATTGATCTTTACGCACGGCGGATTGGGGAACCGATTAACTTTTAATTTCTGATATTTTTCTTTCAAATGGATCACCATGCATAGAAGTATGATCCGTAACAATGGAATAAATGCTTGATATAATAGATCAACTGACTGTTATTCAATATTATTGAATAACAGCCAGTTACCTGAAAGTTGACCAATGAAAGCTCTTAAAACTAGACAAAGGTTTATATTTATTCGGACTAATGCACACACATTTATATGACTGTATACAACAACCGTGAATAAATAATGATTAAAGATTAAAGAACAAAACGAGGCAGCCAAAGCCATTGTTTATAACTGAATCTACACGTATTAGATGTAAAATAAGTAATATGTTGGGAATCAACTAACTTCAACCGTCGTGGAAGTAGTAGACGATAAAACTTTTACAAACGAAATAGCAGTCAAGTACAGGCAAGTTCTGCATTGCTGAGCACGGCCTGGTGGGCCTTCGTCTTTGCGAAGCGACTTGTCTTTGTATAGAAACAACTCAAACTGCAAGTTTGAAATGAAACGACCTGAATCCCACACCTTAACTTTGTCAATGCTTTATGCAAATATAACTTGAGGAATCCTACTAAGTACTTGAATCTACACAAGAACGGAAGTTAATATCCGGAATTTCTTGGCGTAAAGTAGCACCGTTATTCGGTGTCCAATGCTACATTCACCTCAAAGAATAAGGCTGGTAAGCATTTGAAGAGGTAATTAGTAAGTATTTATGATTGTAATAGGAGAAATCGATCATCCAGCTTATGCCTACTCAGATGCAAATTGCGAAGGGTTATTTGTTAACTTCAAAGTGCTATAAAAAACCTTAATTTTCCTACCTTGCTAGCTTAAAAGTCCAGCTTTTCCCCCTTTCTTCCGATTATATCTTATTAGATCTGACTTCATGTATTCATCTTGCTGAATCGGCCATCTAACAAGATCTAACTAAACCGACGCCGCCATTTTTAACGCTAAATCAGCCAAGCGGAATCAGATTTACGTATTTCTTGCAGAATTCATAGTGACCGTATCAGGGCGCATAAATCGGTTGAGAAACTTTAAGATTCCCTACAGCCGGAGGTGCTAGAGCAACGAATGAATAAACTCACTTCCGGTGACTTCAACCCGGGAGTTTAAGTACCCCTGTATAGCTGCAAGACTGTTTTTGAGTAGTTCTCACCACTGTCCTTTTCTAACAATTTTAAAACGTCTTATATATTTTAGAGCAGCCAATTCCAAAGATAAAACACTGAATATCAATTTCCGTGGCCGCCCAGTGACTTTCTTTCTGCTGATCGATCTTTACTCTGCCCGTTAGTTTTTTCTGCTGGTACAATCCGATAAAGTGAAGAACCTGAAATATTCACTTCATCTAAATCATTTAGTACACATACCCTTGAATTTTACGAAAAATCGTACATATGCGCGAGTTTTAGTGTTTACTTTCCCTTAAAAAGCATATTTCCGTCAATTCTGACAATCACGTCATCAGGTAACTCGTATTAGACCTATAATTTGGACGTAATTAAGTCAATGTCGCTCCCACCACCAATTACATAAACATTACTCCGCTTTAATTTCAGTTAATATCATTGTCACACAATGCTCAACATGTGTGAAGTAACAGATTTTGCATTCAGACAATGATGGACAAAATTGTTGCGACATTCCCATGAACTGGCACCCTTTTTGCATAGTAGACGTCTCTATCCCAGCAACCGCTTCCGCCGAAAATCCGAAATCAATGTTGTAAATTAAACTACAACGTATATGTTGTGGTTCAATTTTATCCTTGGTTTAAATTTGATTTCCCTTTGTTTTTCACTCGTTATCATCCATTAACGTTTCCCAAAACAAAATATAAAACCAAGGATAAAATTGAACACAACATATACAGTAGTATATCCTTTCCTTAAACAACACTGTAGTTCAGTAATTTGTGACAATACTGACCTTGAATCCGGCTGATTGTACGTTTTGCATCATTTTCAGTCTTCCACTGATCTTGATATGAACGAACAACAAAACTATTAAAACATTGTCAGTTGCCGTTCTGTGGTCTTTAGAACCTGTTGTTTCAGCTGTGCCACGATACATATGTAAGCTGGTCACAATACAAAGATAAGACTGAGATGTAAGACTGCAGCACTTGTAGTGTTCCTTGGAGAGTCTTCAGTGAGAGAGTGGGTGGTTTTTCCTTACTCTTTTTGCTACTTTCATTTTGCAAATTAATTCTGAAGTACTCCAGGGAGTCTGAAAGTAATTTTAACATTGGTGAAGGTAATGTGCTACACCTCAGGATCTGGGAGATTAGCCGGTTACTTTCGAATAAGATCTGCTGTAGAGATCCTTGAGTTTGAGATTTTATAGTAGAGTTCAACAAAATAGCTGCTTTGAAGACTAAACACACACAACAACAAACTTGCGAAGGTATTTGTAGTTTAAAATGCCCATTTTTGCAATGGTTTTCATTTCCCGCAGTTTCAACAGGTTATCAAACATAGCCAAAGCATCTGTTGGGTTTCCAGCCTTATTACAAATTCTGTCATGATGAACTCCAAGTTCAGCCAAGAGAACTGTAAATTCTCGTCCATTTGCAATCAGTTGTTCTTGCTTGTTCATGAGCACACTAAAAATGGTTTCAAAGAAGCTTGCTAAGGTTTTAAAATCAACATTCTTGGGTCCACAATCCACTTGAAATTTTGTCCCATATTTCAGAGTTCTATCCACTAAGGATTTTAGTGAAGAATGTACATTTGCTTCTGCTTGAAAAAGCAATGAGAGCTTTCTCCAGTCTAACACAACACACAAGTGTGATGGTCGTTCCGCTGGAGGTACTTTTGCCTCCTCAAGCTTCCCAGCTCCTTGAAGTAACAAATCAGATGAACGTAAACAAAGTGATCCAATTTCCTTGTCCATCTTTTCACTGTCGTAGCTCTTCCATGCCTTAAGAATCTGGATGAATTTATATAGGTCATTCGCATGATCCAGAGCCCTTTCAAACTGAGCCTTGGCAATAAGGTGAGCAACAATAAGGTAAAGTGTTTTAGCAAGCTGATCTGCTGAGGGAAGAAAACTTCAGGTAGTTTCCATGATGGAGTGATAAAGTGTTGTTGAGAAGTGTCCCCACTGAAACATGAACAAAACAATTTGCAAGTTACATGTAACTTTATAGCCCTCTATTAATCTCACACTTAAAGCAAATGTGGTGTGCTTATCGGACAACTTATATTTGACCCATATTTAAGCCTTACTCAATACTGGCTCTGGATTATCAGATAGCACTTTGTTGTGCCCTGCTCACACCATGTTGAAAATGCTATTTCTTTCCACTGTGAAATGTGTTGTATGTACCTGGGAGTCCCATACCATAAGTAGGTTGTAAAGTTTTATTCTTCAGTGAAATTTTCGTTTTACCTTTTTGCAGATGACACAAAGTTGTTGAATGCCGACAAAAATCTTAATTCTCTTGAAAAAATGGTCGATAAAGAACTGGTCAGAGTCTAGGATTGGCTCAATGCAAATAAGCTAACATTAAACGCTAAAAAATCAAACTTTGTTAACTTTCGTCCTCACCAACGTAAGATGGACCATTCGGTCAATATTCTAATGTTTGACAATAGTAATCACATTCTTACTTCCCTTGAGTGTAAGGATCATGTAAAATATCTGGGTGTCTTACTGGATAGTCATTTGAGCTGGAAATACCACATAGGTGATTTTCACGTTACGTCATCGCCGCCATGCTGGTGGACGGTAAACAAAAGATCGCTCATTAGCTCGCTTTGTTTGTCCACCAGCATTTGTTCATTTCACCATTGTTATTTGTGTCTCCCGAGACTGCATGAAAACCACCCATTGACAATGTAGCACTAAAAATAAGTAGAATTATTGGAGTTATTACCTGTCTTCGGCACCTCGTCCCTTTTACCACACTATTAAGTATTTATCACTCTTTGATACTACCCTACCTATCCTATGGCTTGGCTGCTTGGGGTCAAGCTGCTAAATCCCATTTACAAAAAATCCTCGTGCTACAAAAACGTGTCCTTCGGTTGATGTATTTTTCTGAACCCAGAGCATATGCGGTGCCTTTATTTACCTCCTCAAAAATCCTTCCTTTAAATATGTTATACGTTGAAACAGTTTCCTCAATAATGTTCGACATCTCGTCTAACTGTTCCCACTAACATTAGTAATCTTTTCATTAAAGCTAATGAAAAGCATAATCACGAGACCAGGTTCTCCTCCTCCTGCAATTTTTATATTAACCAATCGAGACTGAATCAGAACCATGGTTTTGGTAACCAGGAAAACTGAGATACTGAATCCATATACCGGGCTATTCTGGTATACGGCAACCATGTCTTTCCCTTAAACTGCCCGCTGTGCGCCAGATCTGTCAGCTTGTTCACGGCTGTAGAGGGTCATTGCACTCGTGCGACAGGCATCCTTTTGGTTGCTTATAAAATCAGATAGGGATGTTTATGGGCGGGGTATCATAGTTGTAAAACCCCGTCATAACTCATTATTGTTATTATTTAAATAATTGTTTGTGTGTTTGTATATCACCTTCATCACATTTATTTATTTATGTATTTTTTGGCTTAGCCTATAATGGAAATGGTTAACTAAAACAATGCTGTACATTTTTTAAAGACATAAACTAGTGACTAGTGAGAAAAAGGCCTCACTTGGACACTAGGATTACTGTGACGTAACTCCTTCAAGTTGCGCGCGAACGTTCACGGCGGTTGCCGGTTAACATTTGAAGAAATTGCGCGTGATATGAAATGACGTAGGCCATCGAGTGAAGAAAACAAAGTGCGGTCATCCTACCAGTTGTTTTTATTCAAGCTGCGGTGAGTTAGACGCATTTGAAACTTTATTTCTAATTCGTTTTGGAAAGAAAGCTGTTGGTACCTTGCTGAGGCATCGCCTGCAATTGTTATGATCTCTTATATTTGCACAGACATTATCATATCGAAAGCAGATTTTTGAAATATGGTCAGGAAACGAGCAGCTGCCTTTCAAGTTTGAAACTAGCAAGAAAGTTGGAAGTTCCGTACTTGTACGGTAAAAATAACATAGATTGATGGTAGTCAACTCAAGCACGTGGGGCCAGCTGTGGTACCACGGTTTGAAACGTGCGGAAAGAGAGTCAAAAAACAAGATTTCATCCACGGTTAACTGTATTTTTTTCTGCTTTATTAACGTGCGCGTTGTCGGGTTATTTAGTTGAAGTTTTCTCCGGACCGAGTTCGCTTTACCCTTTCGGTGCTGACTCTCTTTCCAGGTCTGTTCACTGTGCCCCTGATGAGAATGACAGACCTTCTGAGCGGACTAAAATTTTTTAAAAATAACATCACTCTATGTTCCCGTCTATATTAGTGAGCTCACTAGAACTTAATAACAGTGTAACATAGCTATTTATCTATTTAGTTCTCGTACCATAGCTAAATGAGTATTTATCACTTACTTAATGCTATGCATTCTTATTAAGAAATAACTAACGTATTTGTGGCTATTCTTTCCGCAGCTGCATGTAGTTTACGCTCAATGAACTGATGTGTAGTCATTGAACTACTGGTGTGGTTATTGATCTGTTGTGTACTTATTGGACTGCTGTGTCGTTATTGAACTAACAAAAAGGAAAACATGGTTCTTTTGCTAGGTTCGGAGCTAAGCTTTGGAACTCAATATGCGATGAACTTCGTCACCTCCCCAAGAGAGCTTTCAAAAGACATATCAATGACATGCTATTTTTGTTATTAGAGGCCGAGGACAGTTATGTTGAATCGCCCATTCTGCTTCAAAAAATAACTAACTATCGAGCAAATACAGAGTTTAATTTATAAAGTATACATATCTTAATTTAGTGTTGCAGTTAATTTTTCGAGTTTCAAGTAGGTGATTTTGTAAATGTTTTTAATTTATGTTTAAGCTTTATTTCATTTATATATATCTAGTTATTTATTCATTTATTTATTCATCTATTTATTTGTAATTTATTACTGACTGCTGTACCTATTATCTCCGCCTGCCTCGACTAGCACCTGCTATTTGCGGGCGGAAATGGACTTTATGTAAATGTAGATTATTAATAATAATAAAGTATGTGTGTTAAGTGTGTGTGTGTGTGTGTTAAATAAAACTCATTTTCATTAGTAAGGTTTTGAAGCTGATCCCATTTTAAGAGTAAGCATTAAGCTTATTTTAGGAACTCAGAAAAGACCTTACTCCCAAACAACAACTAAAGATGTTCACATGCTTCATCTTACCTAGTTTCAAGGCATCTGTGACCTCAGTAAGGTCATTTCCCTTGGCTTTCACATTTTTCACGGTTTCTATAGCACACCTTAGGAACTTGGTACAAAACACGGCGTACTTTGACACAGTTTCCTCTGTAGCTTTGCCTCCTGCTTGGCAGCCATTTTTGTTCTTTAGCGGACATTGCAGTGGAGCAAGATAATTCTGCAAGTTCCACCAAACAATATTTTAAAAAAAACATATCAAGGGTGAAGGCTACCCCATTTGAAATATGGAGTTAAGAAAAATAAGAGGCTTTGGCAAAAAAGACGTCTAAAATAGGTGTAATTTATTAGGTTGAGGTTCGCTCTCAAGTGACACTCATTCTATGACCTGCTCATGTAGATCCGCCCGATTCTTGCAATTGGAGCTACATCTAGAGTCTAACAAGACGCTCGCTTTGAAATGAACTAAATTTTTATTCAAGGAAACGTTTTTGAAAGTTAGTAGCCTTACAAATCGTAAGTATCTTCGCTAACTGAGCTACAAAGCGTCCTCAATTAAGCTACCATAATTTCTCAGCAGCTTAAATTTGGCAAACAGCTAAGTTTGATCAACTTACCTTCGTATCCTCATGAAGACCATCTATCTCTCTGTTTAGAAGTGATTTGAGGATTCTTTCCCCTTGCATGTTTCTGTGAAGCTCTGCTCATTACCAGTTCGTTTATAACATGGTGTTTTACAGCACACTTTTGATGGTGAAACTCATCAAACGAGTCAAAAATGGCGCCTTCGTGCCTTCTGCCAAACAACGCTCGTTCCCAGGGCACCACGCATTTCAAGAACGTTGTGTCGTGACCAGGTGACGCAACGTGCGTGACGACTCAAAAGTTGTGTGACGACTGAGCCATCCCGTTGTCACTGGCTGATAGACCTATTCGGCTAACTCTATGTTGTACCCAATTCAAACCCTTTGGGAATAAAACGTTTTGTTTCAGGAATTTTTATATCATTTAAATATGAATGCCACATTATAATGTAAATACAATACACAAAGAATCTTATCCCCGGGAGATTTGAATTGGGTACAACATTGAGTTAGCCGAATAGGTCTATTAAGACTTTTTTGGTCTTGTCAGCACAATTTTTGCTTTAAATAACATTCGACTCTAATTATAGTCACTTTCTTAACGTCAAATCGGGAGCCTCGAAGTTCTTCCCGACCAAAATTTTCAAGTCGCTTATTTCCAGTTTGTTTTTATTAAGGTTAGGCCGGGAGGTTAAGTTTATTTTCTTGCAATCAGTTTTCAGCTTAATTCAAAAATATGTAACTTCTATGTTGTCCTCGCAAGGTGGGGCCCTTTTTGTAAAAATGACAAATGTTTGGGGGTGGAATCTCAGACGTCCGAGATCGTTCCCGGCCCCTTCGCTTCTCTTCCTCAGGCGTCCGTTACTCAGAACAGAACATATCCAAAAAAAGAAGAAAAGCTAAGAGCCTAGATGGAACTTACGCGAGAAGTCTGCGAATGGTGAAAAATATATCCTGGCAAGACAAGCAAAAAACTTGCAAGGGCTGCAAGAGGGAGCTAGTCCGACAACTGCCTACATAAAGACATTGCGAAGGGATACTGGCATGGATAACGTTAGAGATCTTGTAGCCCTAGATATAGCCTGCGAACAGCAGACGCATTTCCGGTCGTCGCTTCTCTCCCTCCTATTAGGGACCTTAAGATACTCTGGACGCGGCCGAGGAGAACGTCAACCGGAAGTGAAATGTTCAATTCTTGGAACTAATTAGCATAATGCCACAGCGTCGACCTGAAGTCGCGACGGTGAAAACTAGAAGTTTGGCCGCCTCGTAAAACGGTGAGTTGGTTTTCTTGTTTTCAGTGCAGAAATTCCTTTCCGTACAGGATTTTCGATCCATTTTACTTCAAGAGACACATTTAAGTGTTTTTAGTGTGGTGTTCTCTCAAGATTGACTCTTATTTTTATGCTATCAAGCCTTTTGGGTTCAGTGTTTTGGCGACAACTGAGAATGAAAGCGCTGAGTCTTTCGACACAAATGTAACACTATAACTGCTTGTTTTTAAGGGGACAACGTTCTCGCTTTAGGATAGTATTTGAAAAATTTAAGAGACGGGAAGTCGAATACATTTTGTAAAAATTGTTGGAAAACAAAAATCTAGGCTTGTAATAAACTTGAACATGTCGGAGAAAATTGAGATCTTGAACAAGACGCCATGGTTAATTTATTAACTTTTATAATTTTATTTTGTTCACTTTCAGTTCAGCGATGGAGCGGTCTGAAGATCAAAATCTCGCCTTAGTACGGGAAGTTCTCATAACAGAACCATATCGTTTTAAAGCAAGATCTAGAACAACGGAAAGCGAAAACGTCTGGCAACAAATAGCTGATAACCTGAACTCCGATCATACCCTCAAGTTTCCCTCGAAGAAATTTGTTTTTTTTTTTTAGAGAGAAACTGGAGTAATAGCCGGCAGCACAAATTTTTCTTCCAAAAAAAGATCGTTAAGGCATCAATCAAGCAAGACTTCACGAGTTTTTCTAAAAGACGTCATATAATTAAAACACGAAAGCATTACTTTATCCTCTCTCGTCAGGCGAGCCGCTTCACCCAACCTGCTCAATCTTAATTTGTTTTTCCCGCGAAGGTGGCGGCGTCCTGGCTCCAGGCTTTCTCCGTTCCCTTTACCGCCGCGTCCAGGGTATCTTAAGGTCCCTATTTTTCGGAGGGAGAGAAGCGACGACCGGAAATGCGTCTGCTGTTCGCAGGCTACCCTAGATACAAATATCACCTAAAATCGCCTAAGTATGTTTCTGGAAATTCCCAATTTTTTTTCTACATATCTGGAAAAAGTTCTAAAAATCTCAAAAATATTTGGCTTCATTTCACAAATAGTACAGTAAAAACACCAAAAATTAGCCTGTCACCTGAAATGGCAACACCAATTTCAGGAAATGACGTTTTTGTATACAGCATACAACAAAACTCTAAACAACTTCACATAAAGTTGGCCTTATTTCAGTTCCCCGCAGCCTCCAAGAAGACTAGGGCGCTGCACTTCAGTACAGGGAGAGTACCTTAAAGACGATTTGGTGCTGAAGGTCTAAAGCGGTCCTAAAGGGACACTTCACACTTCTGTTTCGTCCGTGCGTGACTCAGAGGGAACCTCAACCGGAACTGTATGAATTACTGCAGCTGATCTTTCAGCATCAGCCATTTTGTTAAACATTAGCCACATGACATATATTACTAGCAGGTTCCAGTGGCAAGTGAAGTGTTGGGAGTAAATAAGGCAAAACATTTCAAATAATTTGCATCAGTTGCAGTTTATTTAGTCTGCTTTAGTGTCGTCACGCGACGTTCCTCCCCATTTGATCAATTAAGAATAAAATACAACAAAGCCTGGCTGAATACAAATTTAGCCAAAACACAGACTGAGAAACATATTGCTTCAATTCATGGGAGTTTTACCTTCACTTGCATTCATACTCGTCGCTTGCAAAAACGTGGCTTTCTATACGAAACAGGATTTCTCCCCGGGTCATACTCTATTTGGGTTCTGAGTGTTCTTTGTTTTCTTCCTGAATCGGTTGACTGCGAACGAAAGAGCCTCGATTTCGAGGGCCGTACTTGAAATGGAGGCAAATGCGTACAAAAGCATATCTCGGCTCGATTACTAGCCGCTGTTCGGTAAATGAGCCCGCGCTCCTTCACCTCCTGGGGAGGACCGAGATAGAGGCGGAAATAGAGCCTGGCTGATGTCGTCGACAAACGAATACCCTTCCTTGGAGACCCAGGGGCAGATAGTGGGGGCGAGGGAAAGTCTAAACGGGTGGGAAAATAAGGCACGAAGAAAAGTAAAGAACGGCGAGAAGAGCCCCTGGGGACAATGTCTTACCAGACCAGTTCTAAACGGTCGCCGCCGTTCTGGCTTCTGATTGGTGCCAGAAAAACACAAGTTTTCTTCCCTCGCCCCCACTATCTCCCCCTGGGTCTCCGAGGATGACGAATACCTAGAATTCTTGTTTTCTTAATATGGATTGTAAAACCTTCCTGAAAACGACTATTGAAACTTTCTCTTAGTCTCATAATAAAACATATGTAAAACATCTGCAAACACTTATAAACAGAATCGCCAAAAGGCGATTTTAACTGGGCTGCCAATTTTCCTGGGGAAGGGGGTGGCTGCAGACTTAGGCCACCAGGCTTGTCGCTGACCATTCCGTGACGTAACATCTCATTTGAGAGTTTTAAAAACAGTTACTCATTTGAACATTTTACCCTTTTGGAAGATGTTACAATATGTGTGATTTTATAATCATTAATTAGGGTTACACTTGGATCTAATGTCACCTTTTGATATACTCTGAATTGTACTTGGTCGTAATAAATCGAACCTAAACAAGAGACTTTCGTAACAAGAAAAATGGGTACCATTTTTTAGTCGGGGCTGTTTAGTACCTTTTCAAACTCCACCAATATGAATAAAAACTGGTAATAGCTGACACCACAGTTGTCCCTGTTCTAGCCTGTTTTTAATAAGGCTCCAAGATAGTGGTTAAAAGTCGTTCAGTAAAAAGAAATGCGAAAAACGCGCCGGGGGCTGGGAAGAGACCGCCCCCCGGTTCCCAAGTAGCGCGCGTCTTATTTTCGGTTTGTGCGTTTTAATACGTCCACACTATATAGTATCTGAGAGCCTGGCACAGGCTACGCCCGATCTGTATGCTGTCAGTCAATAGTATTCTTGGTCGTTGTGTAGCTGTTTGACATATACCGATTCATTATGAAGATTTCATTGACACATATTCCATACAATAGGTGAGATAAAAACAGGAAATGCAAGGTTCCAAACACAGTTTCAGTTCGATTTACACAGCTTTGATAAAAACATTCTCGGTTTCGAGAATAGCTTATTCTAAACCATCAGAGAAGATTTACAGTTCATTTTATTTGCCGGAAAGTAAGCCCCCGGCTTAGAAATTAAAAGGACGTTTGATAACTTCACGCTGGCGCATTCTAGTCTTATTTTAAACTTTATAGCGGAAGGACATCTGTGAGGAGGGAATAAGTCAGCACAGAATTTGATTGTCGGCGAATTTCTGTAATCGTCAATCGTTCTGCTAGTGATAAGCTAGCCGTTCACTTTACTCATCTTTCTTGTTTGGGGCTGAGCCTTATTCCAGTCAAAGAGAGAGAAAGAGTGTCTGGCAAGGTTTCCAATCAAAGATTTGTGAACGCGTGTCTGACAAACTCTCGAAGTGTATATTTAACAATTATTCACCGAAGTGGAGGTGGCTAGGTGTGGATATTAGGAAGTTTACCCAACCACGACGGCGACGGCAACGAGTACGGCAAAAAAGCAATAGATTTAGACAAGCAAACAACAACTTTGCACGTGCATCACGCTTTTTTGTACGTTTCTCTGCCGTCGTTGCACGACTACAACGTGAAACTGCCTAATTTCTCGTTTTGTCGAGGGCGGGAACAAACGGACATTATAACATAGCGCGCGTGCTTGCCCTATAGAAGTCCTATTGAGCCGTTACGAACAAAATCTTTATTTACGCACGCCCGTGTCGACCCGTGCGTAAATAAGATGACGTAAGCATTTTTTTTTTACCTGGCTGCAAAGTTGTCGTATTTTAAGCTGCGGTGCAGTTTTCCTTCTCTTTGAAATATGGAAGAAACCAGCGAAGAACTGTACAATTTTTCTATCGGCATTGACCTGCTTTTAGGTCCTGATCCAACAAGCAGCAAAAATGAAGCCGAATTAAAAAAAAACTCGCGTGTTGCGCGTTTCGCAAATTTGTCGGAAGACCAGCTGCAGCAAATTTTGCCCGAAAGACATTCACTGGGAACAGAACAGACACCAACTGGTCATCAACAACATTTAAAGGTTAAATTTCCGTTTTTATTGTTGTTTTTAAATTTGTTATGCACTTTTGTTATCTCCGGACAATCCGACTTAAGCAGGAATATTTCTCTCGCAATAACAACACAAACTACACAAGAAGACATAAATTTATGACTCGCAAAAACAACTGCTGCCAGGTCTTCTCAAGAAGCAGTAATGACCAGCCAATGCTCGTAAATGAATATGAGTTTAAAGAAGGATGACAGTCGTCTTCGCTAAAAACATGTTTTCTGGATTTCGCCGAGCAAAACGTAAACATCTTTTCAGCAAATCCAAACCATACTCCACGACTTCTTACGAACATGTTAGTATTTTAACTTTAGGTGAACTTTAAGACTCTTTTACCTTTGTTTCTGCTTAGTTTCCATTGAACGTTAACGAATAAAGAAGCAAATTTTCTTTCTCAGTTTTACAGAAAGAATATTTTCATTCAAACTAGACGATTGTGGCGTGTTCGTAATCAGCCAATAGAACCATTTGTTATTGTGTAGCGCGTTACGAGAATTTTGCAGTTCATCAAAAACCAAGCATTTTTGTCAGCTATGTTATAAAAGAATTTGCTCATGCTTTTAGCTGTGCGTATATCGAGTTATGGATGCACTGCACCGCGTGCATCCATAACTCGATATACGCACGCTAAGCATGGACAAATTCTTAAATAACTTTCTTTTTCTTTTCCTCAACTTTGATGCAGTCCTTTAAAATTCAACTCCAAAAAAATTTGCCAACATTTGACGAATTAAACGTGATGGAATAAGCTCTGAGGCAGCGCAAATTTACTTTTTAAGGCGGTTGAACACGGTTTTAGCAGGTTGTGAGTATATGTCATTTGTCAAATCATAGCAAGCGAAAGGTTGCAGCTCACAAGCTGAAAGTTGGCAAGTGAAAAATATACTGATAAAAGATTTTGATCGACAGGTAAAATGTGACGTTTTCGTTGTTTCCATGGCAACATGAACGATTGAATACAGCCTTAAAATTTCACTTTTGCTCAGTTTACATAAAGTTCGCTCATTAGATTTTCCTATAAACTTGTGCACAGCTTACTATAATTAACCATTAACATTTGAATTTTATTTGACCCAAATTTTAACAGACTGGTTTTCAGATAATCAATAATATAATTGTATTGAAATGATTGAATGTATCACAAAATTCTTCTGTTCAGCTTCCATTTTAAAGTTCTCATTATTTAAAATACGATAAAAGTCAAAATTCTGCCAAATATCACAAAATTTTAATGAGTAGATTTTGAGAAATCGTCTTCTGTGTACCATTGGTTTTTTCGCCGCCATGTTTGTCTGTCTACTTTAAAACTCGCGCCCTCACGCGAGTTACCGCTGACTGCCCGCAAAACTGTGTTCAGACGAAACACAGTTTCGCCTCTACTGAAATGTCTGACATGTCTGTACTGACATGTCTGCAAATACTGTACTGTACTGTACTGCTGTACTGTACTGTAAATCTGTGTTGTACTGTACTGTACTGACATGTCTGCAAATTTTTAGAAGAAGCGGATCGTCAGCACGCGGATGATAGCTTTTGGTTGTTTTACGGCTTATAGACTTTGAACGGTCGTAATTCGACTTCATATATATATTACGGATTGGTTTTTAAGGGGGTCTTAGTTTTCGTAATAACGAGAACCAGGAGCCGATTACTCGGCTCCTGCGAAAACTAAGAGGGGTCTTTGTTTTCGAAATTACGAAAACTAAGTCCCCTATATTTACTGTTAAATTCGACCTGAAACTCGGTGGAAAGAATCGAACAGAAGATATTTTGACAGATTAGACCTATTTCGATTACAATTTGACTTCATATTTCGACGGATTTGATTTAAGGGGGTCTTAGGTCTTAGTTGTCACACTCTGGTAACTGACCAGATTGTCACGTCTATGACCACGTGTATATGCAGAGCTGAGAAGTAAGTTTCTTGTTTTTCGGTTCTAAAAAAAGAATTCGTGATAGAAGTAATGCGCTCTTGCTGCCCCAGCTATATATTTATCGAAAATGCCGCTCGTATCTGTGTCGGTTTTTTTTCCTATTTTCATTCGGGGTGGAAATAACGGAATGCGATTGATCAGGGTGGCAAAAGGGGGGCATCAATCACACATGACGCTGACTTTTTTAAAACCATCACGCATCGAGTAAATGGGTGAAAATATTGCAGAAAGTTTTCATGGCAATATCTCAACCCATTGAATAATCGACCCCGGCTATATAAATACGCACAACTGATCGATCATATAACAACTAATCGATTTTAGTCACAACTGAATGAAAATACGCACAACCGATCGATCATATAACAATTGATCGATTTTAGTCACAACTGAATGAAAATACGCACTACCGATCGCTCATATAACAACTGATCGATTTTAGTCACAACTCAATGAAAATACGCACTACTGATCGATCATATAACAACTGATCGATTTTAGTCACAACTCAATGAAAATACGCCCAACTGATCAATTTTAGACACAACTGAGTGAAAATATGCTCAACTGATCGCTCATACAACAACTGATCGATTTTAGTCACAACTGAATGAAAATACGCATAACTGGTAGATTCTGATTGTGCAAGCCGAGTTTATGCTGATCAATAGTATAGTACCCGACAACTGATCGATAATAAACTGATCGAAATTTGAGACAGCTTTCCATGGTTGATTACGGATATATGATCGATTTTAGACGACAGATTACCGATTGATGATATGCTAGATGATCGATTTTACGTATCTGGTAGAAAATTAGCACAATATAGTAATATTTTAATTGATCGATAACTGGTCGGTAAATCCGATCCGCAAAACTGATTGATTGGAGTTCATAGTAAACCTTTAAGTGAGTGTTCTTAATAATGACGACGAAAAAGCAAAAATGGAAAGATCAAGGGGTCCTTCTTTCTGATTTTCAGCGCTTATATACATGATTCAGAACAGAAAAATATTAAAAATTTATAACCAATTTAAAAAAATTAATTTTGAAACAAACGGCGCGCCATAATATGAATCTTTGTGGCTTTCCGGGTTTTGGGAATACATGAGTTCCCCATCCACTGATAGAAAAAGTAGGTAAAAGAGTAGCGGGCGTGTGCGGGAGAATGTTGTAAGTATCAAAGGATAGAAGTGAGGATTATAGATAATCTCGCTATGTTTGTCATCAATTTTGTACAAACTAGGTTAACGTTAGCTTAATAAGAGCACAGTCTTCTCTTTAACTGATGAAACAGCTTAGCGTATTCTCCTCCCAACAACGACGTTACTGAGGGAGTAAATCGACTCGAAGTTACGTCTGAAATTCAGGCTAGAAAAAACTGGGCCTTTTTCTCTTTGAAAGCAAAAAGGCTAAATTAGACATTAAACATTTATTGGTTCTTGAGGATGAAGTCGTCTTGTACTTGGGATTCCCTCTTGCCACCGTCAACGGTTGTGGAGCTTCCGGTTCGTCCTCTTTTTTCTTTGTTGTATACGAAGAACATTGCCTCAGTGTTTTCTTTGATATGAGATGAGCCTCTGTGAGCTTAATTTCCTGTACTTGGAACAGAACTGACACCAGGTTCATTTTCTGTTTCGTTAGTTTTTTGCCTAAAGTCCATTTCAAACTTAAGATGTTGCTTTTTCCTCTCCCCTTCATTCTTGAAGATTTCCAGTCTTCAGGTATCCTTTTCATCAGCTGTAACCACACTAATATCAGCTTCAAGGTCAACAAGCTTCATCACAGCTTGCGAGTTACCATGTCTCTGGGCCACTTGAAGAGGAGTCAAACCTTCTGCATCATGGATGTTTATGTTTTGTACCCCATACTTCACCAGGAGATCGATTATCTTACTGCAATCTCTTTTTCTACGAGCTGACAGGTGCAGCGGGGTAGAGCCATCTTTACCTTGAATATTTACATCTGCGTTGTGTTCGAGTAACAATCTACAGAGGTTTTTGTAACCCGTAAGGGCACACCAGTGCAAGGGTGTAAATCCGTGTTTTTCTTGAATATTTACATCCGCGTTTTGTTCAAGCAACAATCTACAGAGGGTTTCGTTACCCTTTCTGGCACACCAGTGCAAAGGTGTATATCCATCTGCATCTTGAATATTTACATCCGCATTGTGTTCAAGTAACAATCTACAGATGTTTTCGTTACCCTCTTCGGCACACCGGTGCAAAGGTGTACATCCACGATTATCTTGAATATTTACATCCGCGTTGTGTTCAAGTAACAATCTACAGAGGTTTTCTTTTGTACCCTCTTGAGCACACCGGTGCAAGGGTGTACATCCCCATTTATCTTCAATATTTACATCCGCGTTGTGTTCAAGTAACAATCTACAGAGGTTTTCGTTACCCTCTTCGGCACACCGGTGCAAAGGTGTACATCCACGATTATCTTGAATATTTACATCCGCGTTGTGTTCAAGTAACAATCTACAGAGGTTTTCGTTACCCTCTCTAGCACACCGGTGCAAGGGTGTACATCCACGATTATCTTGAATATTTACATCCGCGTTGTGTTCAAGTAACAATCTACAGAGGTTTTCGTTACCCTCTCTAGCACACCGGTGCAAGGGTGTACATCCACGATTATCTTGAATATTTACATCCGCGTTGTGTTCAAGTAACAATCTACAGAGGTTTTCGTTACCCTCTCTGGCACACAAGTGCAAGGGTGTATATCCATCTGCATCTTGAATATTTACATCCGCGTTGTGTTCAAGTAACAATCTACAGAGGTTTTCGTTACCCTCTTCGGCACACCGGTGCAAAGGTGTACATCCATCTTTAGCTTGAATATTTACTTCTACTTTGTTTGCAAGTAGTAATTTGATAAGATTTTCGCCACCTCTTCTGACTGAAATGTGTAGTGGTGTGAATCCAAAACTGTCCTGAACATCTACATAAGCTCCGTGCCTTACTAGCAAGCACACTGCCATATAGTTGTTCCAATCAGCCGCTAATTTTAATGGTGTTTTTTTACTCTTTTTTCTTTGGATATTTATGTCGGCCCCAAGATCAATGAGGGTCTCAATGAACTGACTTGAGGATGAACGACTCGCCTGCATCAAAACTGTGTAATCATTATCTGACGCTCGGGCATTAATATCTACACCGTCATTTAATACAAGCTCAACAGCTTGTTCCGCATCATCATTACATGTAGCCCACTGCAGCTTAGTCTGTCTACTGTTGTCCTTAGCACACTCATTATAAAGTCTTTTGATACTTTTATAACTTGGAAGTCCTTGAACTTTTAAAACAATGTCATATTCTTCCTCTAAGACAGCCGCCTGGAGTAGATTAAATCCAGCCTTTTTATCCAATTGCGTGAAAGCTTTCCTTGAGAGTTTTTTTAGACTGACCTGTTAAAAAATGACCAAGTTTATAAGAGAAAGTGATAAAGAGGAAATCCATTTTATACTACATGTAAGTAGATTTTTGCACGGGTTGCCCTGTATTCATATTGCAGATATACGTGTTCTACACAAAATGAAGTGGTGGTAGCGGTTGTTGTCGTTACAAGTCTATGACCTCATAAGTTGACGCAGAAATGTGAGACAGTTTTTCGGGCACAATCTGCCATAACTTACTGGTTGATGAAGACACGGCCTGGCATCATTCTTCAGAAGCAACTGCACTATGGAATGGTGGTTTTGACGTTCGGCTTTTTGCAGAGGAGTACGCTGAAACTAAAAACATTATATCGAAGCAGAGTTAATTGTGTTACCCACTTTTGACTATTTATCATAGAAACATTTTAACAACGGTAATTCTACATAACTGCATATCTCCGCTTTGTCTACACAACGTAACGTAAAGGGTGATATAGGTAAGAGTTAGAGGCCGATTTCGCAGTTGGGATTAGAGCAAATTCTAGTGCAATGAAACGTTCAAATCAAAACGTGTTCTGAGAGATCATAATTTACTGATCACCGGAAATAAATTTTAGTTATTTAACAACTCTTCGTTGAGCTTTGTCCTTTGTCCAGTTATTTTCACGTGCAACCTCACGTGAACTGAACCCCATGAACTATTCGTTGTTTATTTGACCAATTACATGGCACTTTGCCATGTTCCTTAGTTTACACTCCCATGATATGCTTTGTCACTCTGTTTTCTTTTCCCTTCCATCCCACCCACTATAGTAATCAATTTCTGCGTCAACACGTGGATGTCCCTTTCGGTTTAGAGTTTCAACCTGATGCACTGATATGACATTTAATTAGTCAATTTGGTTGTCTCTATCTTGTACTTCTACTCTGAAGACAGTTGTGTTTTTCAAAAAAGGTGGAAATTGGGATAAAGTGCTCCTCTCATCACACTTTTGCCCCATAGACTCGACATTTTGTACCCCTGGAATATACATTTAGGTTTAATAGTGGGGGCCCTCGAGAGGCACACGATTGGTCACAGCCGACGCTAAGGGGAGGCCCAACTCCATCCCCTATTGCGGTCTGTGCACCTTCCATATTTACCCCGGAACGGTCACAGTCGGCTTGGAATAGGCCAAACTCCCTCCTCCATACCGGTATGTGTACCACCCTGGTGGTCAGTTCTTTTTAGCTCACAAAAATCCAGGAGTAAATGGGGCCGACCTTTTAAGATTCAGTTGAGCACTTTGCGACCAACTTTCCCCTTTTCAGCCACACTAATTATGCAAGTTGTTGTTTTTGTTGCTGTTTAGGACAATAATTTTGGGTCTGATCCCGAACACGAAGAAACTGATTAAAGGGAAACTGGACACTGAAAAGTTCGTAATAAGTAATATATTTGTAATATGTGAATGTATCAAAAACAAAAAAATAATGGAAAAAATTCGAAAGTTTTTTTCTCAAGCTTACGGTTTAATTTTATTCTTCTCCGATACTGTTTTTAAATCAAAGATTTCTACCACCCATTTTTTCTTGGTGAACAACAAATAAAAACATGTGTGTTAGCACAAAAAAAACTTAACCAACAAATTGCCATTGGAATAACACAAATGTGCTATGTACCATAGTAAAATAGGCGGTTGTATCAATACTTTTGCTAGGGTAAATTTAATAATTGGCCAACATAAAGAGATTCCTGTGTCAATCAGTAAAGCTGGACAAACAACAACCTCCATTGCCCCACCCCTTCATTGCACTATATTGTTCAACTGAAGAAAGTTCACTGACTCACCCTGTCCTTAGCGTTGACGTTCGCACCGTGTTCTAAAAACAGTTTGACGACTGATTCCTGTCCATACCAACAGGCAAGATGAAGAGGCGTCAAAGAAAACTACAGAAAAGAGGACAAAAAACGTAGTTATATAAGAAATATTTGTTAACAAATAGAATTCTTATGTCCTTACCCGAGAAGTGTTGTTAATCAATTATTTAATATGAGTTTTTTACTTGACTGAGTAATTATCAATTCAGGACAGGGTGAGTGGTTGTGGGCAATCCTTTGTACTCCTCTATAGAGCACATTGTTGATCACGCGGGGATGCGGAGTTATGTGTCATTCTAAAACACTAAAATTGAGCCCAATTGCACTGTTGCAGGTCACTGTCCATTAATAATTACAGCAACTTGGCCAACAGCTGACGTAGCTGACTAAAACAGGTGTCGATTTAAGGACAAGGTCGAGGACGTTTTGAATCTTCTGACATGTCGATGAGTGTGCACTCAAGTTAAAAATAAACCAATTAGAATTATGGCCAATAGGCACAGAGGAAGACAAGCCAAGACAAACGGGGAAAATTCAGTTGAGGTTTTCGAGTGATTAAAACCTTTTAAACTCCCTTGGTGTGAGTAGGCCGCACTTGATGTGGCACTAAAGTTCGCAGGAGTCGCAGGATGGGGAACGATGGTTTCGAGCGACGGAATTCCCACAAACAGAGCATCTTTCTGGGCCAGGATTCAAGCTACTGTCGCTACTAGTAGTTAATCTCGTCAGTTGAGAGGTAGAATCAGAGTTCGGGTAAAAAATTAACTTGAAGGACAGATAACCTGCACTTCTAGAAGAGGCCAATTCAAGATGACGCTTCAGGCGGTCAAGAAGAGGCGAGTGGCAAAGGGGTTTAACAGAGTCATGGTGAGAATTAAAGCCTCCAGTAACTGGGACATGATGATGATGAATGAAAGCTTCAAATTGGAAGAGCCCGAAAAAGACACGTCTTCGCGCTATGAACACGACCGCTGACGTATACTAAGAACAATAAAACACGTCCTACAAAAGACGCTTCTGAATTAGGACGGCATCTTTAAAATAGGACGCAGACGAGTCTTGTTCGAGTCTCATATCCGGGCAACGGCATTCCAACATAACACGTGTTATAATAACGCATACGCACAATGCGTTAACGTCTTTCATAAGGCTCGAAGGTCATTTATCCGAGGATTTCTCGTGAGAAGCGGGCTTAAAATTAAATTAACATATTAAACTGTACAAGACACAAACCTGATCTTCTTTATCCACATCTTCACCACTTTCAAGAAGTAATTTGATTGTTTCGAACTGTCCCTTGATAGCAGCCTCGTGTAGAAGGCCTCTCGACGCCTGTATTTTTTTAAATCCATTAGTCAGAGAGCAATCTTAATTATACCTTACACTATTGGACCAGCTACTCCCACGAATGAATGGATATTTTCTGCCAATAAACAGCAAAAGGTGTTGTTTCTCTCCTTCTCTACAACTTTACTATCTGTACCTCTATGAATACTTTCGATAATAATTGAGAACTGAAAATACGTCCTCCGGGGCGTTCCATGGTAAGTTGGCTCTCCAAGTGTACAATGAAAATTATTTTTTACTATTCCTTCGCGTTTCACGTGTGATAAATGGGTGCAAATAAAAAAAGAGAAGAAATATGAAACATTTCCTCGTGCCAAGAAAGAAGCAGCCGTCGGAAAAGTGTTAAAACTTGTACTCGTAAGTATAATCATATCGTTATTGTAAGGGAAATATGCACTAGCTATACGCAATGTGCCGCTTCTCCTAAACGAGCAAGGGGGGCTCCACGTGTTTAATTCCTTTTAGATACGTAAGCTACCAACAACAAAAATCTCAGTGCAGGTTATATATCAGAGAAATGACCTTACGATTTTGCAACTCATACTTAACAGGCGTCTGCTGAGTTTAATCTATGTGCAAGTCGTTAACAATATGGCATTTCCAGGCCAGCCCTAGAGTGACGTTTTTCTTATTTTCTATTGCTTTGTAAAAATACACAAGTTCACACTGCACCATATATCCCACTGAACTTACCTTTGCCTTCTCAGCTCTCTGCCTTTGAATCAGGGCTTGCTTCTTGTACTAGGATGATTAAAAAAGAAAATATTTCTGAACCGCGTTTCTTGTTCACAACTACACAATAGACTCCTGAATGCTCGCTATGTACTTATACACCTTAGAACAATTTACTAACGAAAGATGGGTCACTTGAAGATTATAACAAATACAACGAAGACTACCAAATAGCGATCAATAAGTGCTCTTCCCCGAATAAGGGCCTACCCTCTTGTCCAAAGTAGCGGAGATAAATCCGCGGTGGAACTTAGCCACAAAATTTAGAGAAACCCCAAAATTTTGCACAGTTGTTACGAAAACAGCGAAAATAACAAAAATTACAAAATTTTGCCGGTCCATCGACGAAATGTAACAGAGAAATGAAAATGAGGTAATGGAAGGCCCTCGACAAGACAGCGAAAATTACAAAACCAACGAAAATTGCGAAAATAACGAAACTTTCTTCAGTCCATCGACGAAAAATTAACGGGAAAAGAAATGACACAGAGGCGACAGAGGCCAAAAAATACGAAAACAACAGGTGTGGTTACACTAGCCATTTTACCAAAGGGAAATTGGCTATTGCCCATGGGGAAGCAGCTTTTTGTGTGTGACCGGTTTCCCCAAGGTGAGTTTGCCTCAGGAGAAATTTTCATGGATGCGTCAGAAGAACAACAAAACAGACCAACTTCGATAAATTAAAATTCACACTTAGCTACGAGGCTTGTGGGAATAAAACAAAAAAGAAAATGTATTCTTCATTACTAACTGAGCTTCAAGATGATTTCTTTTGTTTTATTCCCCATTAGCAAGCCTCGGAGTGCAGCCAGTTGTGATTTAATACTTCCAAGATAAAAATTGTTACAGGGGAGGGGCATTTCTTGACCTCTATCACTTTGTTCTGTTGAATAAACCTAAAATTAAATTGTAACGAATAGTTTTGGTCCTTTGACGCTTTCACGTTTTTTAAAATCAAAACTAATCGTAATCGTAACTAATGTACTGCGAGTAAATACTGATACTTCATCCTAACGTAATGAACGTACTATAAATTGGGCATTGGCATACCCACAATTTTATGATTACTTGCAGTAAATCTATTGAGTTCTCTGCGATTTACTCCTTGATAACCATAACCTGAATAATCGGCGACTTGACCTTAACGTGGCCCGAACCTACTATATGCGCGTTGGTTATGTTTTTGACTGAATGACGTTTTCGCAGGAAGAATCGAACCGATTTCTATGATTTTTGGTATTCTTAATAAAAAATAGTGAAACTTTAAGAAATCTTTATTTATTTTCTTGTAAGTATAAACACATTTGAGATATCGGCGTAGGTATATTCAAAATAGCCTTTTTACGAAAAATGTAAATGAATTCGAAATCCTACGTCAGATTCTTCCCTACCTTTAGCAAATCAGCCTTAGAGATCTGGGCCCAGTTGCATAAAACGTCACTTAAGTACTCATGACTGGTGCACTTACTGGTGTTGCATGGTACGCACTTAGAACTCTCGTAAATTTTTGCTTTACGTGGTAAGTTACGGGCTCAGTTAAGGGCATACGTAACTTTGTCATAGAAGTACTCTATTTATGACCCACTCCTTTTTTAAGTTCCTCGCTTTTGATCATCGGTGAGTAAAGAAAGTGTCTAGTCGTTTCGAACACTTTTAAGCCCCTTTTTAATGAATAGGGAAAGGTAGTTTTTACACAGATAAAGTTTTATATCAGCAGAGGAAAGTGTTTCATTATTAAAACAAAAATTCAGCCAAGAAACTTCGACATAAAAATACTCTTTCGAGGTTAACAAAGCGCATTAGAACAGAACTACGGAAAGAAAAGTTTTGTTTTTTTCACTTCTCATAACAAGATCTCTTTAAGTTTAGTAAAAAAAGTTAGGATATGGAACCTTCATAGATCCCGTAATTTTACGTGTTATATTTCCCGTAAATAAAGTTTTATGCAACACCCGCAATTTCTTTCGCATAAAGGAGGCTTAAGTGAACACTTACGAAAATCGTAAGTGAATTCCCCAAGTGGACCACTGAAGTGAATGTTTGATGCAACTCACTTAAGTTACAAGTTCACGTATGTATACCCGTAGTTGTTACTATTCTCATCTGCGCTTAAAATAATAAAATACACATTAAATAAAAAATAAAAAATACACATTAAAAAAAAAGGAATATACATTTGTCAACACTAACATTTAAAAAGTAACTTAGATTACCTTCACAAAAGCGTTTGACATACCTCGATTTTTTCCTTCCTAGCTCTTTTTGCGACTATAGCTGAAGTGTAACGAGAGAGGGAAGACCTTCTTCGCTCAGGACGCGGAGAACGCACGATCTGTAGGGTGTAATGAATAGAGCGTTTTTACTTATGCGACCCTCGACGTTTAAAACTTTTTGGTCCTTGTGCGAAGTTCGGTATTGCTGTTCATTTATGGAAACGCAAACCACTGCGCACAGCTGAGTCGATTTTCATACTATAGATTGTGGTGCAAAATAAACAAATTGTTAAAGTACTATGAATATCAACTCACCAAACGTTGCTTTGGGGAAAGACTCGAAGGTTTTAAGGTTTCATCATGGTTTCTTAAGATAACGAAGCTCGTCGAATTATTCTAAATGGTTGCATTATCATTATTCACGAGGTTGTCACGTGCGATTTTACTTAATGAAACCTTTTACTAGGACGAAAAGAGCCTTCACTAAATGCAACCTTAAGTTTGATACACTAACATTTATTTCCTTGCAAGAAAATTCTGAAACTGTCGAAATATATTTCTACTCATACCATGTTATCCCCCTGAATAAAAGAATATCTTATTATTTTGTCAACCAGCTTCTTCCAATTTTATTCCGTAACTCACCTAACGCTATTAGAGGATGTTAGCATCGACAACGAGTACGAGTTCTAGAACGAGATCAGCGATTTTGCGTACTGCGCATCCGTTCTGCGCATCTCCACGTTTTCAAGTCGTCCTGTCAAGTTGCACTACGACGAGTTCTCACCAAAAACTCGGAGTGGGTGGAACGACTGGGAAGAGCTGGTTTTCAAAGGTAAATTCCGATCGTTTAATGCAGTTTCTTTTCGTTTCTAGCCTCTCTTTATCATCTTGAACATTCCCTATATTAGGTTTTATGTAAAATACCGCTTTTGAAGTCGAGGAAAAGCAACCGAACGCGATATTTCTTACACACGGGCCTCACAGGCTGACAAAATAACCCCAAAAAATTGCCATTATTTGGTCGAAAATATCCCAACAGTCGAAGATATCATTAAAGAATACTTACTTCTTTATCCAGTGTGGTTTTTGTGTTGAATTTGATGGGTTTTAGCGTGTTTTAAGACCGCGACTAACCATCCTTTGAGTTACCTCGAAAAATCGATTTTCCTTTGAAAACTGGAGGATGGACCGTCGATCGATGAACGTTTTTTAGAGTCATCTGTTGTTTTCGAAATTGTTGTGGAAGCGCTACCTCGACTCAAATTTGGCGCCCAGTCATGCAGAATCCAATAATCTTATTTTCTGTAAACTCGAACTCGGTGTCATCGCTAACATAGAAAGCTGAGAAAACGACTTCGAGTACGAGTACGGCTTGAAGTCGTTCTCGTACTCGTACTCGTTGTTGATGCTAACATCCTCTATTGTCTCTACTTAAGTTACGCATCTTTACTATATAACGCTTCTATTGGCTGGTTACAAACACGCCACAATGGTCTAGTTTGACAGAAAATTCTTTTTGCAAATCTGAGGAAGAAAATTTGCTTATTTACTCGTGAAGGATCAATGGAAACTAAGCAGAAACAAAAGTAAAAGAGTCTTAAAGTCCACCTAAAGTTAAAATACTCACATATTCGTAAGAAGTCGTGGAGCATGGTTTGAATTCGCTGAAAACGTGTTTATGTTTTGCTTGGCTAAATCCAGAAAACTTAGGGTTTTTTTAGCGACGACTGTCATCTTACTTTATATTCATTTACGAACAATGGCTGGTCATTACGGCTTCTTGAGAAGACCTGGCAGCACTTGTTTCTGTGAGTAATAAATTTATGTCTTCTTGCGGTGTAATTTGTATAGGTAATAGCATGATTTGTAGTGATATTTGGCATAAATAGCACGAGTGATAATTCGAAATTGTTACACGTAATTTCACGAGCCGTTAGGCGAGTGAAATTTGAGACAATTTTGAAATATCACATGTGGTATTTATGCCAAATATCACGTACAAATCATGCTATTAATTGTTTATACTACTACCCAAAAGGTTTGTAATTTTCACATGTAGGAATTTCAAATTAAGATGAAATACCACTACTCTAAGCCAATCAAATTGCAGAAATTTCTCATGTAGTAGTATAAATCTTACTATTGCAAGAGTAATTTTCCTGCTTCAGTCGGATTGTTCGGCGATAACAAAAGTGCATAATTTTTCGCTATTAAGCTTATTTCATAATTAATATGTTTTTTAAAGCAAAAACAAACGTTAAAAACGGAGGACACTTTACACAAATTGGATATTTCCCGACACAAACCAACTTGTGGTCTTTTTCCAGCGGAATGTCAGTCTTTACGGCAGACTTTTCAACGATTTAGGCTCTAATTATTTGCGACACATCTCCACCGCTTTTGCTGTTGGTTTGAGTGGCTAGAAGCTAAATTCCAAAAACGCTAGAAAGTGTTTCATCATTGCCGTCGACTTTTGGGTACTTAGTACTTAGGATAAAGAGACGAAAAACACAGCTGAACACGTCATCATGGAAAAAATCTTTATCTACGCACGGGCGTGTGTAAAATAGCGGCTCAATAGGACTTATATGGGGCAAGCACGCCCGCTACGTTATAAATGATCTTTTCTATTCAACCTTGAAGCAGGAGGAACATTAGGAAATACGTGCATTGTACCGTTCGCGATAGCAGAAATGTCTTGAAGCAGCACCCACACTAGAAAATGAACCCTTTAACAGCTGCATCACCGTACATTGCGTTTGAATCATGAGGGTACTTAAATGTCATTCTTCTAAACATCTGCATTCGTAATAAAAGACGAAAAAAATGATTGACCTTTAGCAATGTTTCTCTTGTTTGGATACCAAAATCTCATTGGTTCCTAAGCATCAACTCATAGTAACTTCAATCTTATTGGCCTCTGCGACACACATCCGAACAGACAAAGCCACAAAGCCACAAAGAAACCTACGCTCCCACCACTGACATATCAGCTGTTTTTTGAAAATGAAATAAACCAACACAACTAATTTTGATTTTACGTACTTGATTAACGCTTTGGCTGTGGGACGTTAATACATTTACAGACATAACATAGCATTCAACATATACCATGGCAAGAAATTAACACGGTTTTTTGTTTTTCAAAAACTATCAGGTGGCTACAAATCACCATTATTCGGTTACTGAATAACACGTCACCGATTAGACATAATATTGAAGGTAAGTAAATGAATGAGCGGCACTTTATAACATGCAGTTAAATACAAAGGAGTTTAACGGAGTTAACAACAAGGAGCGCTTGTTTCACCCTCCTGGCCAGCGGTGTGTGCGAGATGCGCCTGTACCAAGATCGGTCATGCTCTGGGACTTGTGTGCATCTTAGCGTGGTACAGTGCATTTAGCGTTCAGCCATTCAAAAGAATCTTTTTAGGAGGGGGCCCACTTCGCTAATAGGTGCTTTAATAATTTAAAACTAACCACATTTTATTATTAACGTTATCATTAATTAAAAAGCGAAAATGCATCGTAAAACCTATGTATATAGAAAAATGGTTGGCAGGCTTCTTTCCATTTCCTTTTTTGAGAGTTCCACTATCCCGTGATTTCATAATTCAACCGGACGGCTTGGCGAAAATCCTTCCGTAATTCAATATATGGACTGCAACTCTTTGGCAGAAAAATTACTCGGCTTGAAGCAGCGACAGTAGCGATTTCATGCAATTACAATACGACAATCTAAATGGAATATGACAATCACTTATCATTTTATTTTGTGCTAAGAGTATAATTTCTGCAACCTTGCCAAAACATTGTTGCCTCACCTTGCTTTCTTCCTCCATCTCTGACATTGATCCTGAACCAGAATCAGCTACACTGTAGCGAGCGCTGAAAGACCTTCTCCGCTCAGAACGCGGCGAACCCACAATCTGTAAGGGGTAATAAATAGAACGTTTTTACTCGCGTGGCCTGCAGTTAAGCATATTTACTGACAGAAAAGAAAGCGTTTACGTATGAAGAGTTCAAATTTCAGAATATTAGTTTTACGACACCGACATGGCGGACGCAACGTCGTGTGAAAAAGGTGTCAGAAGCTAGTTGCTTTCAGATGGTAGAACGTGACTTTATGGCGCCCACCACAGGCGAAAAACGTTCAATTCGATACATGCGCGGAAAAACCCTCGTGCACAATTTTTGGCAAACTCATTGGTTCAGAGGCGAAATACCCGCAAAATGTTGTCGAGTTGAAAAAAAAAATGACAGGCAAATTTCTCAATGGTAGTATAATTATTTTGGAGGAATTGTTGTCGAGATGATAATGCATCCTCAAAATGTCAGTCAAACGCAGTGGCTGATACACATCTATCATGTTTTGACTCGTTCTT